TCCCTTCCTTTTGGACCACCAACCATCATGTCACAGAGACTTATTAATTTTGAATGCTCAGCCTTAGCTGTTCTCTAGCTAGCTCCTTTTACTTAAATTAATCTGCATTTCTTCATCTACCTTTTTCGTGGGACTCTTTACTTTTCTTTCTGTATATCTTAATTGCATTGCTTCTCATGTCTGGCTTCTTGCCCTGGGTGTCTTCCTTGTTCTCTCTGATTTGTCTCATTCTTCCTTCTCTTTCTTTCTTTCTTTCTTTCTTTCTTTCTTTCTTTCTTTCTTTCTTTCTTTCTTTCTTTCTTTCTTTGAGCCTAGGTTTCTCCTATGTATTCTCTGCCTGCTAGCCCCACCTATGCTTTCTCTGTCTAGCTATTGGCTGTTCAGCTCTTTATTAGACCAATCAGGTGACTTAGGCAGGCAAGGTGAAACAGATGCAACATATTTTTACATATTTAAACACACATCCTTACATCGTTAAACAAACACAGCAAAAACAAAAGTAACACAACTTTACACTGCTATAGTAGTATTCTGCAGCAAAAACAAATGTAACTAGTAGATGATTTACCTAGTTAAAATAATATTCCACAACAGAGGATTCTCCTATCCCCAATGCTATAGTGATAACACTGGAATCACAGATACATGATATTTTGTTCATCTTTATTTGGGATCTGGGGATTTGATCTCAGGTCTTCACATTTGTTTAGCAAGCACTTTACCCACTAAGCTATCTTACTTTATGGGTATATTCCTCTGCACATCCAAATTCTAGCACATTTACCTAATTCCAACTCATCTTTCTGATGGTAGTTTAAAAAGGCCACCTTCTCAGAGATATATACCTTCTGTTGGGAAATAAAGAATAGTGAGAATATTTTTAAATCATTTCATATCACTTGGGTCTAGGGATATAGTTCAAAATAAATCACTTGCCTGGCTTACAAGAGGCCCTGGGCACTCCATACCAACAGTCAAACAAGCAAACAACAAATTACTTCATTTTAAAGGTAGCTTCTGTGGTCTATGGCTGCCTTCCCAGCACTTGGAGCAGAGACAGAGAATTTGGTGTTTGTGTCAAGGTTGGGCTACATTGGATCCTGGGTTACATCCAATGCCCTGTCTCAAAGATCATACAAAACACCAACAAAAAGTACATGTGCCTAATGTTTTCTTAAGAAAGACTAGCACACTGTATGTATTATTCTGTATCTTTGATAGTAGCTTTACTTTAGTACTTATAAAGATTTCTCATTTTCAGAACCCCCTCCAATTTCCTACATTAGAGACTATATTTTTATTATATCTCTTAGGGAAACCTTGGCTGGGTATAAAATTACTTTGTATCCTTTGTTCTACTTGGAACAAATTACTCTAAGGTCTTCTGTGTTGGTGTTGCTCTTGGATAATTAGGCCGACTTTATTTTTTTCCTTCCTTGTGTATAGATTCTTATTTTTACCCAAGTAGCCATATAGTTATTATTTCTTTAGAATTCCATTACTGTCCTAAGTCTACAAATTTGATGTTTTTTGTTTTGTTTTTGAAGTTACTCTGGCTGGGTATAGTGGCAGACACTTTTAATCCTAGTTCTTGGAAGGCAGAGGCAGGCAGATCTCTGTAAATCTGAGGCTAGCCTGGTCTATATAGTAAATTCTAGGCCAGCCATAGCTACACAGTAAGATCCTGTCTCAAAAAACAACGAACAACAAAACAAAGTTACTTTGTCATACCTTTTGCTTTATATATTTCTTTTTGCTTTATATGCATCTTTGAAGATGACATTACATGTCTTTTGTGCTGTCTTCCTTCTCCACGTCTGTTTTCTTCACTATTGCTTTTATATTACTAGCGCTATCTTGTTGTGTAGAGTCTCTCTGAGTCCTGGTATTTCTTTTCAGTTACATTCTATTTCTGGTTGCTTCTTCATGTGGCTTTTATCTCTGTGGTGTTATTTTTTTCTGGGCTCTACCAGTTTGTTTCTTGTTTCCTTCTGTTATTGTAGAATCTCTTCTTTGAACCTTTGTTTTTCTTCTTTGAGCTGTTTTTTTAAAGAAGGTCACATTTCCTATGGTTGCTTTAAGGCTTTGGAGAACTATTTATCTGAAGTCTTCCTGTGTTTCTTTGAGTAGTTGCGCCTGTGTTATATGCTCCTAATTTATTTACCCCTTTCTCTTATATAATTTTCCTCAGTTGTATCCCAAGATGCAGTATTGGCTATTTTATTTTAAATCACTCTCTATGCTGTAACAGGGAAGGCTGGCTAGAAGCAAAGGTTGCTCCTTCCACAAGCTAATTACCTATGCTCTCGATCTTGGTTTCTTCTGTGGTAGGGCTTGTTTCACATTGGTGGTTGTCAAAGAAGAGGTAGGGTGGTGGCAAGTTCAGCAAGGCTCTCAATGTAGTAATGAGGAAATGCCCTCCCATTCTTCATCTGTTTCTTTGGTGATCCTGGAAGACCGGTGTTGAACAGCATAGTTGTTCTGCTCAGTCTGCCCTAACTTTCCATAGAAGCAAACTGGTACTTTTGCCACCTGGAGGCTTATCCACACAAACAGGTTTCACCCATCTGATAGCAGTATCCATAAAGTCATTGCATCTGTTGTTCACTATGCGTGTCTTGTGGAAATTTGATTACTGATAGGGGCCTAGAAAGACAAGGGGTGGTCTATGGCTCATTCCCTCATCTAATATTTACAGGTGTGCTTCATGTTTGTTACTGGAGTTGTGATGACTTTCTTGCTTCAGAGGTAGTAAAATCATAAATTTGTACCAATTTCTTATCTAGTGTATAAGGAATGTGGTCCCTTTGTTTCTTAGTCATGCAGAGTCTTTTTTTTTTTTTTTTTTTTTTTTTAATAAGGCCTTTCCACTGTTGGTAGGCTGGGAAAGAAGACATGCTTCCTTGTAAACTGGGTTGATTGCCTGATGTGCAAAGACACTCTTCCAAGCCGTGGTATTTCAGGGTTCTTCCTCTGCCCCCAGACCCCAACGTAGCATTTAGGAGCATGTGTCAGGGTATTGGAACAGTGCCTAGAGCCATATCAAGATGATAATGGTGCGGCCGAGAGCCTTCCTTGTCTATGTTGCTGGGCTCTGGATCATTAGGCGTTGAGTAGCAACTTGTGATCTTATTTGAGCCTTTCTGATCTCATTTGAGACTTATTTGAGTCTCATTTGACTGCACTGAAAAGACTTCTCCTGCCCACAGTCCCTGATGTGTGCATGCAGCCATGGAATAGACCTGACTGATGTACTAAGACACGCAGAAACTTCTAGATTCCTATCATGATGCAGTGGAGTCACTTCTTTAATCAGCAATGTCATGAAGCCTTCAACCATCTCTGGCTGTGTCCTCAAACTTAGATCCTTTTAGGGTAGCCAGTACTTGGCAGAAATATTTCAACAAGTCTTTGTTCACTGTTGTCTCTTTATCTGTCCCCAAGGGTCCAACAGAAAGACAATGGAACTCTGACATGTAATTTGACAGAGCGGGCATGCAGTTTGGACAGTTGACAGTGGGGGTTGTTAGCAGCTGCGCATCTTGGTTCTGCCTTATGCAACATGTGCAGGTGTGTATAGACATAGAATAGTGCAGGGTCCCCTCCTCCTCCAAAGTCTGTTGGCCACTGGTCCATGGGGGCAAAGGGGACAGAAGCAGCAAGCAGGGCCTTATCTAGCCTGCGAATACAATGGAGTTAGCCCTCTAGGAGATAACTTCAATGAATCAGCTCAGCTTTATTTCAGAGAACAGGGAGTATATAGGATTGGGGGTCTGTAGCTGGGGAATCACCTAGTTTGCATTAAACAGCAGGTTCCTACCATAAAGCTCCTAGTACAACTCCTAGTTATCATCTGTGGGAGCATGGTCCTTTTCTTAAAGCTCCTACCACAGTCTAATTACCATATGGGCAGCAGGGGGAATCTTCTGCTTGGAACTGAGTCCAGTGTCACACTAGAGATAAGTCAGGCACTGGGCCTAGAGATAAAGTCAGGTAGAGAATAGGGTGCCTTCCACCAGGGTAGGGGGGTGGAGGGGAGTGGGGAGTGGTCCATATTGCCAAGTTCAGAGAGAACTATCAGGCCATGGTAGACTGCAACCTCCTACCAGAAGGGCCTCCCAGAAGAAGAGTAGTGTTACAGCTTATCTCTACTAAGAGAATTAGGAAACAGTCTTTGGTTGAGTGTTTTGAGTTAACCTTGATTTCTTTTTCCTTTCAGCTACTTTTATGTTACTTGCTTATTGTGTCTCTGATTTGAAAAATTGTGGCCCTTTTGTTTTTGATGACAATGTGGTAAGAATCATTGGGCCACACATGGTGGCATGTGCCTTTCATCCCAGCACTTGGGAGGCAGAGGCAGGCAGATCTCCTCAAGTCCAAGGCCAGCCCTAATCTACAAGAGAAGTTCCAGGACAGCCAGGGCTGTTACACAGAGAAGCCCTGTCTCAAAAAAGCCAAAACAAAAAGTATGATTGTCAACTGTACAGTAGAACTTTTCAAAGTTTGAATAGGCTGGCTACTCAGCACCAGAAAGGCTTGCCTAATTAAGGTGTGTGTTTAATTAAGATAACGATGCTTACTTACTCCATCATTAAAATGAGCACCGTGAAAGTTCTTCCTTGGTCCTTGGAGAGGACATTATATGCAAGCCCTGTTGCGTGGGTTGCAAAGTGTCACTGGAATTTATATGCATTACTCGTCTAATTGCAGTAAATGTAGCATGTCCAGCTAGGTTTTGAGTTAGAAGGCTGTTGTTACTTACTGGAAATCACTTGAAGCCCGAGTACCCAGAGGCAGCTGTTCACAGGTCCTTCACCTCTCCCCAGAGACGGCTGGGAGTCTCTGTTGTTGGCCCCTGTCTTTCATGGCTGCAGCAGTAAACATGACAGGTTGTTTGGAAGCCATCTGTTAAAATGGCTGCTGCTTTGCATGCAGCAGTGAACTTGGGACCAGTTTTCTGTCTGTCTTCATGGTAACAGTCTTATTTGGTATCACAACAGGTGGAAGTTGATGGGTCGAAACTAAATGTGACCAGTACGTGGAACCTGGCCTCACCCTTATTGTCTGTCAACGTTGATGGCACGCAGAGGACTGTACAGGTAAATGTTCACATGATATATTTAGAAGGCTTCAAGTTCAAAATCCTTACCAATCCCCATGTGGCTAATGCTGACATAATAAGGAAAAGCTATATCTTATTCATTGTGTACTTTTTGTAGTTGTAAAAGTTTTTTTTTCTCTTATACTAGAGGACTTTGAACTAATCTTAATTTCAGAGAATACTTTTGTTTTTCAGAGAACCTCACAAAGTCATTGCTTTATATTTTGCTGGAATAATTAATCCCACAGGCTTTTTTTAAAAAAAAAAGATGAAAGGTCATCTTTTTCATTGTAGGTTTTTAATTGTAAATCAGGGCTTACATGGAGTAACTTCTTATGTAGCTGAAATATGCAGTCTTAGGACAAAAGAAACAAACAGGACCATGCAGGTTGACTTTGCATAGCATATGCCTTGGGGAATTACTATTGTAATTTGGGGAGACATGCCCCCATGTACAGTGTCTTCCTTTGAGCAAGTGCCTTGAAGCCAAGAGTGGATAGCATGTTCTTTGTAATCATTGACCTCCATTTAAAGTTAAAAACCATGGAAAGGTATAAGTCACCATGGGCACCTCATACTGAGCCAAAGGCTCCTGGAAAACCAAACACTAAACAAAATGAAAGGAAAATGTGGCTATTATATACAAATAAGAGCTTTAAATCCCTCATAGCATCAAATGCTATTTCTTTAACTGAATTTTACATAGAAAACCAATCAGAGCTGTTGTATGCCTCGTCCATTCCTGTCTATTAATAGAGATTGGGTCAGAGGACTCAGACTCTGTAGAAGATATCTGATGACTCAATTGTTCCCAAGATGGGCTCAATTGGTGTGTTACCTCTATGGGTCTAAGACGACTTGAACTCTCAGTACAGACCCTGATGTGTTGCCTTCTCACTATGTAATGTTTTTCATTTATATCTAACTCTTTGCCTCATTTAATTTTCTAACTATAAATTATGATCATGATAAAACTCTCTAAGACTCTTGAAAGCTCTAACTATACACTTTCACACTACTTAAATCCATTTGTTGAGGCTTAGGAATGAGGTGCAGTGGCAGCGTGGTTGTGTAGCAAGGACAACACCCTGAATTTGATCCTTAGCACAGCATAAAACCAAGTGCGGTGGTGCACTCCTGTAATCCTGGCACTTTGAGATGGAAGAGGGAAGATGAAAAGCCAAGGTCCTCTTTAGCTATGTAGACTTGGAGACTGTACATAAGCTCCTGTTTAAACAAGAAAGCAAACAACCACAAACATAAATGAATGAATGAATAATAAATGCATTTGTTACTGTATCTTCAAAATGGTGGTTTGTTGTACCTATGGTCATACTCTCCATTGGAATAAGTTGTGGTTTGGGGTCACATGAAGTTTGATACATATTTAGATACATAGTGCGACCCTCAGTGGTGAGAGACAGCAGTTTTATTCGAGCTTTCCTGTCACAGTTCTTTTCATCATCTTCCCTGGTGTTTCTGCTGATAATTGTCTTGTTGGCTATTTGGCATGTAGACTTTCAATTAGGCATGTATTTAGTATAATCATCAGCACTATTTTTCCTGGAAAATCCATTTTCCCTGGATGATGTTCGGTACAGTTTCATTTTTCATTTTGTAAGTTCTTTGCTGCAAAGAGTATCCACATGCCTGGAATAAATGAACCCATTTGTGGCATTCCCTGGACTTGTTGAAAGGAATTGTGGGACCAAGCTCCGTACTCTCTAATTGGATGTAAACTCTCTCAGAAACATAAATGGTATATCGGCAAAAATATCAGTTGCTAAAATCAAGGTAAGACATTTTTTCCCTCATGAACAGGGATGATTTTTATGTACTTTTTGTGGAGTTGAGCTTCAGAGCTGAACTGCCAAACTGCCACATGGTCCTTATGGAATGAGTGGATACGTGATAATCTGCATGGATCATGAACGCATTCATGCTGCCATTTGAAGCTTAGTGCATATAGTAAATGTTTTAATCTTCATAGGGCTACACAGTAGATGGTCTCCTCACTTCTTTTTGTCAGTGAGACCCCCAAGGGTCAGAGAAAGTTACTTTCTTAAGGTCATCCTACTAATAAGATGTAGAGCAGGAATTTAGACCCACAAAGTTTTGCTGAAGGGCTTCCCATGCAGGAGGCTGAACCAACTGTGTGACCCCACTGCACCCATTTCTTGCTGTTTTCCCTGCCAGAGTTGCTCAAGTCACACTTTGCTACCAACCACTCTTTAAACCAGTGCTGCTTTCAAACTCCCGTGTGCAGAAGAACCACTGGGATGGCTTGTTAAACTCGAGCTGTAGGTGCACCTAAACTTGACTAATTCATAGGTCTAGACTCTACCTGTATTTCTATCAGGCATCTTAAGTGATGCTCAGGACGCTGCTTCACACTCGGCCATCACTGGTAAGCTGGAAGGGCTGAGCAGTGAGGGAGGAGCCAAATCCTACGCAGCCTTCTGACTGTAGAGTCTGTTCTAGTAGCATCCACTGGAGTCTCCAGTGGGGAAGTGATGTCCCTGTTTTCTTTAAAATCCAGCTCTATCTACTGTCTGTGATGAGCACTTTTCCCCACCAGCCTGGTCCCAAATGAACACACGGATGCTATATTAATGATGAAACTCTTGGCCAGTGGCTAGGGTTTCTTATTGGCTAGCTCTGTCTTAATTATTAGCCCATCTCTATTACTCTAAGTATTTCCACGTGGTCCTATATTACCAGAGAAGGGTCCATACCTCTTGCTCTTTCCTCCACTACACGGCGACTGTCTCTGCCTACATTTCCCAGAATCCTCCTCATCTCCTAGTCCCACCTATCTTCCTGCCTCATCAGCCAGCACTGTTTTGTTCATCAACCAATAAGAAAAACACATGTACAGAAGACATCCCCATTAACTGTGTGCAGTCACTTGGCTAAGTTATTTTATATGTGGTCGCCATTCTCTGGTGGCTCTAAAAGAGCTGCTCTCACTTGACTTGGAACCTGCAGTCTTGCCCAATTCCTGACACCTGTGAGGCTGGATGGACAGGGGCCAGGTCAGTGGACATGCAGTCTTCTTGGGCTCCAGAATTCCTGAAGTAAGTCTGCCTTAGCTGTACTTTGACCCCAAGATTTAGATTTCTCTTCTCCCAAACCTTCCCCTAGGTAACCATGTTCCCAAGACAGCCTTCTTGGGTGTTTTATGGGGTCTCTCTTAATTTCCTGACCTCACACATTGGTAGAATCTGCACCGTAAGGTAGCCAGGCAGGCAGATCTCTGCAGATACAGACCACCTTGTTTCCTGTGAGAGCAAAGGCAACAAGGGCTCAAAGGACACCCATCCAAGGATGCCCCATGCTTGTGGAAGCAACTGCTCACTGCTGTTTGCCCTGGGCAGCACCTAAGCTGTTTGAGACCAGTGTCCCACCTTCTGATGGTCATTGATCTGGAGAGCTGCAGAAGTCTGCCTGCCTCCAGCTGTCCCTTTCCTCTTCCTCACAGGCCATGCACACCATGGCCTCCCTCTCACCTTCCTGGTGCTCGTTGCTCATTACTCAGAGACAGTTGCTCTGTGAGGCCTGCATTCTGCTGTGCACACTGAGCTGCTGCTACAGCCTTTTCTTTTCTGACTAGAGAGTACCCTGTGCTTGCAAAGAACCCTGGTCGCTGTTGATAAACGCCAGTGGAGAGCCAGTGCATGTCCACGTGACAGGGAGCGATTCAAGGAAGCAGAGATGTAGACATTGAAAACTGTTGACAACATTGCAGCTCCTCCCCCACTGTCGTAATTATTTTTGCTATTTAATCTGACGTATCATTTTGCAATCTATTTCCTTTTTCGTGCTATGTATTTTCTAGTGCTTCCCCCTGGATTTATGGTCTGTAAGTTTGATGTTTACTGAAGATGTTTACTGGGATGACCTGGGAAATCCTTCCACTCCCATGTGTTTTGTGAGGAGATGCACTTGGAGACCCAAGTCACCCATTTTACAATTCTGGCATAAAACAGTCCTTCTGGGTAGAAATGGAATGTGAGCCTCACACAAAATTGTATATTCTCCTTTCTTTTTTTCATTTGTATATTTTCATGAGCTATATTTTTAAAGTAAAAGGGTGAAATTTTAATGTAGTCTATATTAATATTCTTGCATATTCTAGAATATATGCAAAATATAATTTCAATATAAATTGGTGTAACCCTAGGAACTGCACAGATGTCTGGCGTGTATGCCAGGCACACCATCTCAAACCAGACTACCAAAGCAATGACATTATATTTAACAGAAATATGTATTATTGCTATAGTTTATCTTAAAGATTTATTTATTGTATTTTGTATGAGTGTTTACCTTTCCTGTGTATATATGTGCATCAGTTGCATGCCCGATGCACACAGAGGCCGGAAGAAGCCACACATTTCCCAGGAACTGGAGTTACTGACTGTTATGAGCTGCAGTGTAGGCACTGGGAACTGAACCTGGGTCCTCTGCAGGAGCAGCAAGTGTTCTTAGCCACTGAACTATCTCGCCAGCCCCTACAGTTTTAAAATTACAATAAAATCGATTGAAGTAAAATAAAATTGGAATTTTAATTCCTCAATCATTTGAAGAAGCCCCCCCCCCCCCGTTGGCTGAGACAACTTGCCTGTTTAAACTTTTTATAAAACAGAGTATTTCAGATAAAATCAAGTTTTTTATTTTGTTTGTTTCAGTGTGCCCCCCCCATATGTCAACCATGGTATTGATATTTATCATTTAAAAATTAAATGGGTTAAGGGGCTGGTACATTGCTTGTATTAATTGAAAACATCGGCCATGGAGGAGTATGTGTGTTGTCCTAGCTCTGGGGAATCAGAGGCAGGAGGACCTCTGCAGTTGCTAGCCAGCCAGTGTAGCCTAATGGACAAGTTCCAGGTCAGTTAGAGGCCTTGTCTCACAAAGCAAGGTAGAAGCTGCCTAAGGAATGATACCTCAGGTTGATTTCTGGCCTCCACACACAAACAATATGCACACATGAAC